GGGGGGGTAGGGAGTTATACACGTCATGTACATAAGAGTACTAGATCTATTTGTTATTTGTTCATGTACGGTACAACTTATACATGATGTAGGTGCTTAACATGTTTTAGTGTTTGATGATCTTTTAAGCTTCTGATTTCCTATCAAACATCTATCGTCCTTATCTCCCCTTCTTGTTTTTTTATGTTTATCACTCTCTTGTAACAGCTCTAATCTTCAGGCGCTCATATGACCTTATGCAATTGCGAGCGCCGTAAAACCTCTACTAAAACTAAAAGGCTTCTTATGGCTCTCACTGGTACTTCTATCTATACCGGTACATGATGTACTGATGTAGGCTACACACAATTTGTACACACAATCGTTTCAGAAAATGTTACAATTACTCTCAACTGCATTCCCAGAGGATGCACAGAATTATTGTGCGTTTGATAGTACAGTGTGCATGGCGAGAAGTCTGCTGCTACTCAAAAAAGGGTTTATTTCAAATAAATGTCGGCATTCCATATATATAACAAAAACATGCAGTGCCACTTGGATGCAAAAATTGCATGTTTACATTTGATAAATAAAGTGTATTGATTGAACTTCGGTTACAATATAGTAACTTTTACTTTGTCTAAATAAATTATGCACAGCAGTTTATCTTTGCTAATGGCTGTCCAGGTGGTTTTATGCACCCCGCATAATTTCGCAAAATTTGGTCATTCGTTGCATAATTTCTGATTATTTTCCTTTATCATTCTAATATTCTTTGTTAAAATTAACAGAATAGCATAATTTCACATTTTTGGGCTCAGTCTGCTTAATTTCATAATTTTTCTTGCATAAAACGACGCGGATAGTATTGGTTATTGGGTACCTTATAGCACTTTTACTTTTAGAAATTACACAGACCTACGTACGCCCAAATTAAAATTTAATACACCGCTAAAATGGGTTTTCTGAGGGTTCCAGGAATGCGAACTTCCCCTTGTTATTGTTACAGTTTAATTAGCTCTTTACCGACCTCTCTCCATGAGTTCTGCAATCCGTCTAGTGAGACAAACTTTCATGATGGATTCTCCGTGACCTGTTGACGAGACTGCCCCAACATCATTGTCAGCAAAAGCACCAGCACCTGGAAGTATTTTAGTAGCTGTCAAATTCTGCTTGTTCAAACATTACATGATATCATTTATCATGATTACCTAGCATCTGCGTTTGTTGCCATCTTTTTGCTCGAAAGTTGCCACAAAAAGTGGCAAAATTTGCCAAAAAAAGTTGCCATTAATTTTCAAGTTTTCAACTCTCTGTGAATGTGATGACGTATATATAGCAATATACTGATAGAGGTAACAATTATCTGTATAAAGCATGTATTTGGCCTTATGTCAGTGGAAAACAGACACACAGTGGCTCAGGTCAGGGCGTACATGAGGGTGGCAGCTGATAAGCAACACCCACTTCACGAAGCCATTGGAGCAATCAACTTTCAAGGGAAATCGCTTAAAACGAGGAGCTTCTTGGGTGGCTGAGGCTGAAAACACCGCGAGGAAGTCTACCCTCTGGAAGATATAAAGCGGGGTGAAGAATGGATAAAGATGAGTGAGAGACAGCAGGGAAATTTTGGGAAGGTAGTGATTACACTGAACAGAGAATGTAGAGAGTGGCCGCTGGTGGCGACAGATGCTGAAATACGGCAACTGATTGAAGAAAACTCTCGGCACGGAGATGTGGTTGTATACACGGATGGATCTGTTAAACGAGGGGAAAAACTGGATGGGGCTTCTCAGCAAGAGTGAGTGGCAGATTGGTGCAGGAACAGCAGAAAGCATACGATGACAACATCTAGCATGAGAATGGAGATAGAGGAAATCACTCAGGCTCTCAAATGGATCACAACAACTCGACAAGCACATGTGATCTTTGTCACAGACTCTCTGAGCACTCTGATGAAGATTGAAAGTGGGAACCTTAGAGCTGAACGTACAGAGCTCCTGAAGAAGACAACACTGAAAAAGATCACGTGGATCTTCATCCCGGGCCATGCTGGAGTCAAGGGAAATGATGAGCGGGCTGATGAGCTCGCTGGGAAAGCAAAACCAGAAGGGAAGCTGTGCCCTGACAAACCTGAAATCGTACGTTCAGTCAGGGAAAAACGAGAAAAAGAACAAGAAGAGTTGAAATACCATCATCTTTAAATAAATGTCAACACTTTTTGTGACTTGACGTAGACTTTTAATAATCAAGCACAATGAAGACATACGTCAGACGATGCATGACTGG